CGCCGGTGGGCTCGTGTTGCTGTCCATATTATAGGGGCTTAGGTTAATTCTTGACGTTTTTCTGTGCTTCTGTCTCTCTTCTGATTTCGAGATTTCGAAAATGTATTCTTCTTAGGTACTGCTACTTTATTATTCTCATTTAGGTACTTGAAACCAAGCATTTGAAAGTTTTGCTCAAATTACTGTGTCGTTTGAATTAATGCTCCAAAGCAGAAATTGATTGAGAAAGAGCAGGTAAATCCGGCGATCGAAATGCGATGGAAGGTTTCTTCAAAAAATTGCAGGTCTTCAACAGCGGCCAAGTTCCCCTGGAAGTCTGATCAAAGCCTTGTTACACAATAAATTGCCGGTAGCGATGCTGACAGTCTGCCACCATGGTATATCTGCGGTTACCTAGTTCTTGCTTAGAAAGGGATGCAGTTCGTATGGCATGTCGCGGCCAAAATATCTTTCGACTGAAAGACGTGGAAACTTTGCTATTTTTTTTCGCTGCTGACTGCAACTCCCTCAGCGACTTGTATCAATACCTTTTGTGAGTTTTTGAACTACGGGCGCTTCTTGTTCGGTTATATGAAAATATTAATTATTTTTGTACCGAAAGAAGAAAACAGCCGTCTAGACAAATATTGAATGGAGTTGACGGGTGTTAGCGGTAGTGGATAGATTTTTGAGTGTTGCATGAACATTCCTTGTCAACAGGAAGCCATAATTTCTCACATGTTTTCTGTACAGTTGTCTGATGTGAAATAAAATTATGGATGACGAACTCTCTGATTATATCAGCGCGAAAGCGTTGAGACCATCCTCAACAGTATCAGTAAGGACATCGCAAGTAATTCGCTTATCATTCCTGTACCTAGGTTAACCCATTTCAACCAGTTCATTGATTGATAGTTGAAGGTTGAATGTTTCTTACGTTAGTACAGCAAAGTGTACGGCAAGTAAACTTGTGAATTGGTCAAGGCCTGCGACTACCTCCAATCCTCAAATTGCAGAAGCCCTTATGGTAACTTAGTATCGTCTTTTGAAGTCAATGGCTAGAGGAGATGCACTTCACGAAATTGCACATTACCAAACAACCAGCAATTCACACCTAAATAAAACACGCCAGGCTTTCATTTGGCGTGAAAGCGGATGACTCGCTGAAGCGAATTCACATTATGTGTGTCTGCTTATGACGATACATAAATGTGGCCGTAAAAGTAATCGTGAGTCGGTAAACTCGTTTCGTGAATCCGGTAATCTCGAACAAAAATTATTCAACTGATTAGCAAATGTGAAGCGAAAAAATATTTTGCTTGCTGTAAGCACTTTGAGCCGTTAATACTGGTTTGTGATAACCAGTGTATTCTCGGCGTTTTAATGGATTATTGCATTGCAGAAGGAACTATTCCTCTCCCAAAGCAGACCTGTTTCTATCCTATTCTTACATGTTGCATGATAGCCTCCTGGTCGACCTCTGCTGGTTTAGGTTACCACATGAATAGCTCACGGGCTAGACAAAATGGCTTACTCGCAAACAGCTTGTCTAACAAGGCAAACCTCCTCTACGAATCACTTGTACCTGAAAGTGATTAGAGTCATTCCTTACGCAGTCCTGCAATTTAACTCTTATTATGAGTCGCAGCCAGCGCAGCTATACGCAGTTCAACCGTCGTTCTTGTTTCTACGGTAGAACAACTGCCTCCAGGTCAAACGACAACGCTCCCTGGCAAAGGAAAGGCACAGGCGGAAAGGTATCTCATTTGTCAGCCCAAAGTTTGGTTCCTAAAAGCACTCAGGGTTAAGGAGATCGTCCCATCTGACTCTGGCTGGATAGTGCCATCGTAAGAGATTATGGAACCGATATTGTTAAGCTAGACCACACGAACCGTTCCATCTGCCTGTTCCACTTGTAGATCAGCTGTGCTGAATGGGTTCTTCTTAACTTTTGACTTCCGGGCGTTAAGGAAGAGACCGGCTTTCGCAACTGTGTTGAAAACTGAAGCGGTCGAATAGCAGAGCCCGTTCTCCGTACTCCTCGCAACGGCAGTGTCATCAGCGCACTCCAGGTCAACAAGAAATCTAGCCGGACATCTTGAACTGCGCCTTCCCTCTAGAGCAGGGGTCGGGTAACGTTTTTACTTATTAACCCAATTTACGCCGTCGTTACTCGTTTGATTTGAAAGGGAGAAAACCATAGATAATTTAAATTCAAAAGGTTTATTGAAGGCACGCAAGGTCGCGGCCAAAGCAGTGGCAAAAGCCAAAACTGATTCCTGGGAGAAGTTCGGTGAGGTATTGGAGTCGAATTTCCACGCGGCAAACAAAGTATTTTGGCAGACCATCCGCCGGCTCTGAGGGGAAAAGACGGGCAGTCTCAGAGTCTTGAATAACAGATCTGGACACCCTCTTACCAAGGGTAATGACATTCTTCGGCGGTGGAGAGAATACTTTGAGGAACTCCTTAACCCCGCGCAACCGCAGAAAAACTCGCCTGTAGAGCAGAAGGGTACGGATATAACTACCTCTGTAGATCAAATTACACAAGCTCCGATAAGCTTGAAAAATGGAAAAGCTACTGGGATTGATGAAATCCGCCTTGAGATGCTCAAGGCATTAGCCGAACAAGGCATGTGCTGATTAACGAGTGTCTGTCAAACTGCGT